AGGATCACAAGAGAACGCATTCGAGAACCCAGATATGTGTACAAATATGATTCAACATGTATCTATGATTTACTCGAAAGTGCTCAATTATCAGGATATTGGAATAGAAAATGATCATTTTTTCATTGGGAAATTCTTCTTTGCTGCCACAATTAGTAGGATCAATTGTGTGGAAAGCGGAGCTGCAGCGAGTCAGACAGTTGTGCATGTTATGCATCACCTAATGACTGTCAGTTTTCAGAAGTCTGAAAAGAAACTAATGGAGCACTTGTAGTGTATTTATATTGGTAGAGAATTTAGGCGTACAGAGTTATAAAATGATTATTGTAACGTTTTAATCCAAACTGGGACTCTGAGTATGGGCTCTGAATTCGATAATCTTTGGCACTGAAATCATACAGAATTACTTCAACACTTCCATCACACAAAGTAAACCGGGTGAATTTAGGTTAACATATGACATACACAAGTAGTAAGTACAAACTGTCTTCGAACAAACTTATTGCCACTGTCGCATTTCTCGATTCAGTTTCACCATGAGTGCAACACCGTGGTCGTTCTTAGAACAGAGATTACTGAAGACGAAATGTGAAAATATTCGATAAGTTAGTAAGTGTTAGGAGATCAGAACACCTTTCGATTATCATGACTGGACCACAACGGGGGTATGGCGATCACACCTCATTAGGTCGGATACGAAAATCGTGTCAGAATGAGTGAAGCGGCCAGGCCCATGTACACGATCAAGCCTCGTAGTGATGTCACCATGTGGTGCAGATTTTTCAACCTACCATTGAAGCGCTAGGTTTACGGTTGTGAGACGTGCCTTTATCACACCCACCTCAATACCCATGGGATATCTTTGCCTTGTCTTGGAGACCTATGCGTCTGCAATGCGTCAACTTCGCCGACCCATCAACCAATCACGTTCTGGCGTGATTCTTTGGCATCAATGAATGATCCACAACCAATATATACAGCATTTTGACAAAAATCCACATCATTTTAGGGTGCGGTTTGCAGACTTCGACATTTGCCGTTTCGTTGAGGACACGCAGAGTACGTTTTATAATGAGTGACCATGCATCACGAAAACCCTATCCAAAAGATATCCATCAGCGAGTTTTAACAGCCTTTGACAAGAATGACGACTGGAAGAGCGTTGCTACCGCTCTTGGTGTGCATCAGCGTACAGCTAACCGTTGGGTACATGCTCGGGAGAAAGGTTATATAGCCGGAGTTCACGGTGGAGCTCGGATACGCAGTTTGTGTGAGGCTGAAGTGGATCAATTGGTTGAGTGGATCAGCGAAGATTGCACACTCTTTAGAAACACTGCGATTGAAATTGAAGGCCGTATACGACAAAGAGATGTGTTGCAGCACGATTGGCAACTACCTGAACAGCAGACTCATTACCATGAAGGAAGTGCACCCTATTTGCGAAACAATGAATTCGGAGGAAAACAAAACGAAGCGGAAGCTGTTTGTTCAAAGCATACAACAATACGAAAGAGTGAATTAGAACATTGTCTGGATTGATGAGAGTAAGTTTGTGCCCTCAGTGCTTACATTTTCTTCCAGCAAATTTTAACCTGGATTGGTAAATTGCACACTCAATCGCGGCTAATTCACGAGAGAAATTTGTCAATCGTGGGTGCGGACCGTCCTCAATAATTTACCGGAGTTTGACCGCAGGAATACGGTGGTTGTATGTGACAACGCACCTTGTCATTCTGGCTTGGAGGCGGTGCTTGATAAGCCTTTAAATTCCGGTGCCATATTGCTGAGCCTTATTCCCCAGCACTAAACCCAATTGAAGGTGTCTGGAGTGTGATCAAGCATTGTGTGAAGCAAAGCACGCGTCAGTAATACGGGGCCATATTTGCGGGGGATCCATCTGGCACCCTGTCTGCGAGAGAATGGCGAATGCAGTGCATGGAGAAATGTGCTCAAACTGCCAAGATGTCAGTAAACCCGGATATTAGTGTAAATATGATTCCCGATGAAAAAAGAATGTCTTATTTAAATGTCCTCATAATTGAGAAATTTCGAGTAAATTATGGATACATGTCGGATCATATTTGCACAAATATCCGGGTTTACTGACATCTTGGCAGTTTGAGCATATTTCTCCATGCACTGCATTCGCCATTCTCTCGCAGACAAGGCGCCAGAT